GGGTTTTTTGTTGTTTCGCCATACTTCACCACTCCGGTCTGTTTCGGGTTTGTTCAAGTATCGTCGTCACGAGTCTCCGATGTTAGTCGTGACCGCCTTACGAGCGCAAGGGAACCTAATCGCAATTGTGTGAGCAACATTATTCAACTGAAGTGGTTCCTATTCTTAGGTTTTTTCGGTAAAGTCACGTAGGTAAAAGATCAAAATTAATGAATGTTTTACCTACGTGACTTTACCGAAAAACCTAAGAATATGAATCCTTGCAGTCACGAAAGCTTCAAATCTAGAATGAAGTGATTCCCCCATTCGGGAGCGTCATCGTTTCGAATCGTGGAATTACTTCCACGTTGGATGTTACGGAAAGTCCGTGGGCATCGGGGGGGGAACGACACGGGGCGTGGCGGTGGCTAGGAGATGTTAACTACCTCGCCGAGTATACAGGAGGTCGTGGGTTCAATCCCAACCCTGACGCCTGCCTGTATATTTGCGTGTTCTCCGGGTTTTCCCGACACACTTAGAGTCCACGTGCGTTTGGAGTATGTGGCTGCTGTACATTTCCACGCGATGGGGCCACTTCGTTGAGCAATCATTGGTGGCCAGTTCGCTTATGAAAACTATCTCATTTACCTGGTGAAACGAAAAAAATAGTTTTCTAATTTAGATGCTGAAAGGGATCGTGATGCCCAGTGGTGGAGACTCACGACGGAATGGCAGGCAAAGGAGGGAAACTCGCCCGCAAGAACGTACACGGTGGAGATGGAGCGGCGAAATCGGCCCCGGTGCACGGACGTCGATGTATAGTTGCGTGGCGAGACTGTTGTAAGAGATGGTGACATCCAGCAGTGGCTCGAGCACGACAGCTGCTGCTGCTGATAATGGTCACGGCATTGACACGATCCTTCCCTTCCCCAACACGCCATTTAAACAGAGCGTGGTGAAATATGGTCAATTTAACCCTGATCGGCGTGTGGGAGGGCCTTCATCCAGCAGTGGATTGACAATATCGGCTGTTCGCGCTACGGTACCGTACGCCAGACCTATTTGGAGCTCGGGACAGGCGTAATGGGATTTGTCGACACCCGCAGAGGCTGGATGAAAGGAAGTCTGCACGTCCACCGCCAGTGTGTATTGAGACTTTTTGTTGGGTACCCAGTCAAGGATTCCAGCCCCTCTCAACGAGTATCGCTTAACAAATGCTAATTGCCAAGGACAATGTGTCGCCCGTCGGGACGCGCTGGCTTGTTGGGGCACGTGGAGTTTGCGAGCACCTCTTAAAGGTACCCCACCAGGTACAACGTACGCATGAGCTTGGTGGTGGTGGTGGTGGAGCGGTTAGCACGCTGCGCTATGAACCCGGCGACCCGAGTTCGATTCTCGCTCACGGAGCAACACCAGTGACGATTATCTGAACCGGTCCTGGGTCTCTCCTAAGTCGACTCGGCCTGAAATGAGCACCTGGTGCGGTGTGTAAACATCGCCACTGGGGAGACAAAGGCGGTCGGGCGTGGTGCTGTCCACCCACTCCCTCGTGTACCGTTCCGGCCTTCATAGGTGCTCACTAACAGCACTTGCCCCTACAATCTATTAAGACAATACGGGGGATCTTTGTCTTTGGTGGTGTGACAAAGGCGGCCGTGCAGGGTGCTGGCCACTCACTCACTCACCCACCCCGTCGTGTGCCGTGCCGGCCTTCATAGGTGCTCACTAACAGCACTTGCCCCTACAATCTAAGACAATACGGGGGATCTTTGTCTTTGGTGGTGTGACAAAGGCGGCCGTGCAGGGTGCTGGCCACTCACTCACACACTCACCCACCCCGTCGTGTGCCGTGCCGGCCTTCATAGGTGCTCACTAACAGCACTTGCCCCTACAATCTATTAAGACAATACGGGGGATCTTTGTCTTTGGTGGTGTGACAAAGGCGGCCGTGCAGGGTGCTGGCCACTCACTCACTCACCCCGTCGTGTGCCGTGCCGGCCTTCATAGGTGCTCACTAACAGCACTTGCCCCTACAATCTATTAAGGCTATAGGGGGATCTTTGTCTTTGGTGGTGTGACAAAGGCGGCCGTGTAGGGTCATGCCACTCACTCACCCACCCCGTCGTGTGCCGTGCCGGCCTTCATAGGTGCCACTCGGCACTTGCTCCCAACAGTCGGCTAAGGCTATACGGGTGATCTTTGTCTTTTGGTGGTTTGGGGAGCGGTGGTGTAGCGGTTAGCGCGCTGCGCTACGAACCCGGCGCCCCGAGTTCGATTCCCGCTCATGGCCAACAGCGGTGATGATTTTATAAAACACGTTGTGGACCTCCCCTAGGTCGACTCGGCCTCAAATGAGTGGTGTGGTGTAAAAAAAAAAAACGCTATTGGGGAGACGAAGGCGGTCGGGCATGTTGCTGGCCGGCCACCCACCCCCTCGTGTACCGTTCCGATCTTCATAGGTGCTCGCGAACAGCACTTGCCACTACAGTCTGTTAAGGCTACACGGGGAACCTTTGTCTCTGATGTGACCATCGATTCCACTTGCTATGTACCGACGTTTAGATCGCACTGCAATCACAGCAGCAGGTAATATCAATTTTAGGCTGAGTCTACCTAGTGGAGGCCCAGGACCTCATTCCAGATAATCATCGCCGGCGTTCAGATGCGCTTCTACGGCCGTCTGGAACGCTCTTCCTTATGCTATTCGGAAGCCACTGGAGCTATGCACTCTCTTTAAATCTCGATAGAAACCCCATTTCTTTAGAATCGCTGTTTGTGTTCCGTTTGTTCGTCCAGCCCACGGACCTCCCGATCCGCACGGTCGGCTACGCGCGCTGCCAAATAAGTTCAACACATTTCGATTTAAAGCTTTCGTGACTGCAGGGATTCATCTTCTTGGTTCTTTCGGTAAAGTCACGTAGAAGGGAAGTAATAAAATAATAAAAATAAAACATAATAAAATAATTCTCACGACGTTTCGGCTACAACGCAAGCAGCCGTCTTCAGGTTACTTCCCTTCTACGTGGCTTTACCGAAAGAACCAAGAAGAAGTTCAACACACACACCACGTGGAGCGTGCGCACACGCCGTCGAGCAGCGCTGTTCCCTCGTTGCGATGAAGCACTCATTCCGGCAGGTGGCAGCACTCCGTCACTGCTCGATTGATGCTCACAAACATTGGGGATTGTTACCACCACCACCACTATTCTCATCATCATCATCATCAGATCGGTGGCGAGACACGCAGCCGATACAGAGAACTACCCCCCCCTCCGCGCCCCCCAACGTTCTATTATAATCGAGCTGTACTATACATCTATGATTAAATTTCATTTTAAAGGTTTCGTGACTGCAGGGATTCATCTTCTTGGTTCTTTCGGTAAAGTCGCGTAGAATGGGAAAAAAAAACATAATAAAATAATTATTTTATTATGTTCAATTTTTTTTTTATTTCCATTCTACGTGACTTTACCGAAAGAACCAAGAATATATATAATTAAATAACACGATCTATTTCGGTACCGTTCCTATGAATGGACGCGTTGATTCTCTCCATTAGACGTCTTGCATACTACTCAGCATCGAGTTTGATGTCGCATTTCACGGTGGCTTGCGTGGCTCTGTCGTGTCGCTCGCTGCTCTGCCTGGTTTGCTGGTAGGTTTGAGCGTGAGATGTCCCCTTGATTGAGCGTAGCAGCCCTGAATGTACCCTCCCCCCCCCCCCCCCCCCATGTGCTAGGAAGCAAGGCATCCTGTAGTTGGGATGGGTACAGCGGTCGTGCGCCACGCGGGTTGTGAGCTGTGTAGCTGTTGAGCTTGCTGTAAGCCGTCCCGTTGCTATCACCTCGTGTATTGGCACTTCAGGTCGAACACGAGTATTAAAGGTCGTTGAATTGCCAAGATAGTGCTGTGCGTACCACGGTGGTGTGGATGTGTGGGTGCGTTGCGTGGGGAGCGGTGGCGCAGCGGTTAGCGCGCTGCGTTACGAACCCAGCAGAGAGATTCTAGTTCAATCCCCCTTCACGGCCAACATCGGTGACGAATATCTGAACCGATCCTGGGTCTCTCCGTAGAGTCAACTTGTGCGAACAGCACCAGTGGGGAGACAAAGGCGGTTGGGCCTGCGGTCCAATAGTCTGCGGCTAGAGCGGTGGGTGGGGGGGGGATCTTTTCCGTCGTTGTATAGTTTGTGTCTGCATGGTAATTCCACTGCTGGATGAAGTCCCGAGTCAATGACGGCTCTGTACTTCACCACGCTGGCCAGAACTGGTTCGGAGACGTTGGCGTACTGCGTGGGAGACGGACGCGCCGGCAGGGGATGAGAATGTGTCTGTGTGTGTGTTGGTTCCTCTCTCTCTGTGTGTGTGGGTGGGTGGCTGTGTGCGTGTGTAAAGTGGAGTGTCTGTGAGAGAGACGGACAAGCAAGATGGCAAGATAAAGGGTGGTGGGTTATGTGTGTAGAGGAGTGTGCGTGCGTGCGTGATACAGACACACATGACGGATGTGTGTATGTGTAGGTGACGTTGAGTGTCTGTGAGAGAGAAGAATGGACAAGTCGGAGAAAGTGGGGGGGGGGGGGGGTATGTGAATGTGGGGAGCGGTGGCCCAGCGGTTAGCGCGCTGCGCTACGAAGCCGACGACCCGAATTCGATTCCCCGCTCACGGCCAACACCGGTGACGATTATCTGAACAGGTCATGGGCCTCCCCTAGGTCGACTCAGCCTCCAATGAGCAAAACACATCACCACTGGGGAGACAAAGGCGGCCGGGCGTGGTGCTGGCCACCCACCCCCTCGTTCACCGTTCGGGACTTAATAGGTGCTCGCTAATAGCACTTGCCCCATCCGTTTTAAGGCTATACGGGGGATCTTTGTCTTTGTTATGTGGAGGTGGGTACGTGTGTGTGTGAGAGAGATACAAACACACACACACAAAGGATATGGGTGTGTGAGTGGGTGGGGGTGTGTGTGTGTGTCAGTGGGTGGGTGTGTGTGTGAGCTAAACGAGGCTGGGCTTATGCGATCAGATGCTCGGTGTCTCTGCCGTGTCCGCTCGCCCGCCTCTCACTCCACTCTGAGACCTCCTCCGCAGAGCACCCAGAGAGAGAGAGACAGACCACCGCCACGCGTCGTGTCCCTTTAATTGACGCTCTTTTAGCCATTCACACCGCGGCTGCGTTCCGAGTAAGTACAGCTCACACGGCGCTAACACTATAATATACTTGCATTAGAGGCGATAATCCGATTACGCGTGAATTTTAATCGCTTTTTTTGTTTGGTCTGGAATCGTTTGCGCACGCTGTTCAGTCATTCGCAGCACTGATGAGGTCCGACCCCATTTCAGTAGATCGGCCGAAACTCGGCATCGCTTTTGAACGGATTTCCGCTGAAGACGTTCGATCTTCTTCGGCTTCAAATGGAGCTCTGCTCGAGCGCGGCACACGTTTCATTGTTGGGTGCTCGACATCGTAATGTCGCTGCGACCCTTTGAGTTGCACGGACATTTCGGCCGAGTGGCCCATGCGTGTTGGGTGATGTGTGGACGCATTGCGAATTGGCGATTCTCCCTCCGTTCGTGGCATTTTTGGAGCGTATCGAGCGGCACGCGCATGTCTGTGTTGTTGTTGTGTGTTCGCCTGCTTACTTTGTTACGCGTGTGATTTCATTGGGGCGAAATAATAATCTTGCACGGCACGGCGCGTGTAAGTAAAAAAACTCAACAAATGTACGTCGTTTTTTTCGGATTATAAGACGCACTTTCCACCCACCCCACCTGTCATTCTAAAGCAAAGTTTCTGGATGCGTCTTATAATCGGGTAGGTCGCGTGTAATACATGCTGTGGTGCAGTTCGATTCGCGCTCACGGTTAACATCTGGTGACGATTATCTGAACCGGTCCTGGGCCTCCCCTAGGCCGACTCGGCCTTAAATGAGTGACCCGGTGCGGGGTGTAAACATCGCCACTGGGAAGACAAAGGCGGCCGGGCGTGGTGTTGGTCTACCCAACCCCCTCGTGTGCCGTGACGGCCTTCATAGGTGCTCGCTAACAGCACTTGCCCCGACAGTCTGTGAAGGCATCTTCGTCTTGTTATATGCATGCGAGTTGTGTGAAACGGATTTGTAGAAGTGCGCATCGGGCATCGGGCGCGAGTTTTGGCTTCGTCTCGTTCTCCTTGGAGCGACTTGGAATTCGAAGGGGGGAGTTCAGCGATCGTGTTGTGCGTGAACGGACCATGAACGGTTTCTAAATGTACGCTGCTCGCCGGTTTTCAGAATGTTGTGCCCCTGTAGACTGCTGCGGTGTCTACAATCCGCCAATAAAGGCATAACGTCGTTCGTGGGTTTGAAAGCTATAAAGTTGAATGGGTTTGTAGTGGATGGCTTCGTTTATAGCTGTTGCGAGTGTGTCTGCATGTCTGTCGTGTGTGTGGGGGGGGGGGTGGGAGTGGTGGCGCAGTGGTTAGCGCAACGCGTGACTAAAAAAAAAAACCCGACGTTCGATTCCCGCTCACGACCAAGTGGCAGACGCGGAATATCTCAACCTGCCCCGCGCCTCCGCAGTGTTTACACGATTATCAAGTGTGCACCTTGGTGCGGTGGGGAGACAAAGGCGGCCGGGAGTGGGTGTCGACCCCCAACCCACCCCGCCGGTGCTTGCGTAACCGCACTTGCCTCCCAAAACAACGTTGTTGAAAGCGAAACGGGGAAGGGGGTCTTCATTTGCGCGTCGTCTTTTGTGTCTCGCGTGCAGGGTTCTCGGAACGGACGTGGAATCGGCGGCACCGGTTTATACGACGACGACGACCCCGAACCGGTTTTCTTTGTAGAACGCGCAAGTGGCTGGTGGCCGAGCGGACTTGCTCGTCTTACGACCCGAACCTAAGATAACAAGCGCAGAGCCGCGGAATTTCGGATCGAGCATGTGAACTTGTTTTTTTTCTTCCTTCCAATTCACATCGCGCAAGAAGATTCACATCGGCGGCGGCGGCAGCAGCATCAAGAGCAGCGCATCATCAAGAGCAGCGGCAGCATCAAGAGCAGCATCAAGAGCAGCGCAGCATCTTCTTACTCATCGCGAGCAATCGCAGAAGCCGCCAGATCACAGAGAGGAGTCGTCGGTGCTCGCACCACGCTTTGTGGACTTCTCCTCCTCGCGGTCAAAGCGCGAATCCGAGTGCGGTGGGGTTTCTTTTTGGTCGGGGTTTGGACCGGGGAACCGCAACCCAGACCCGTGATAGACCGGGACCAGACCCGTGCTAGACCGGGACCAGACCCGCACCGGAGCAGATCGGTGGAAATGAGTTCCCGCAGAGGTTTCGCCTCCTCCACCAGCGCGGTGAGCATGGCGAGCAAGTGCCTCGTGTGGGTCCTGCGCGCCTTGGTGCTTCAAGTGGTCTGCTGCAACGCGATCCGATGGCTGTAAGTACCAGCGCAAGTGCCCTATGTGTGGAGAGACAAAGGCGGCCGGGCGTGGTGTTTTTTTGATACCCACGCCACCCCCCGCTTCGTGTGCCGTTGTTTGCCGTCATAGGTCTTCGGTAACAGCACTTGCCCCAACAGTCTGGTCAGGCTATAGGAGTGGCGGGTTTCTTTGTCTGTTGTGTGTATTGTGTGTATTTAATGTTATATATGGTGTATTGTGTGTATATTGTGTTGTGTGTGTGTATAATTGGTGCATTGTGTTGTGGTGTGTGTATATAATGGTGTAGTGTATATTGTGTAGTGTGTGTGCATGGTGTAGTGTGTATTGTGTAGTGTGTGTGCATGGTGTAGTGTGTATTGTGTGTATAGTGTAGTGTTTGTGTGTAGTGTTTATTGTGGGTGTATATTGCGGAGTGTGTATTGCGGAGTGTGTGTGTGCATGGTGTAGTGTGTGTGCATGGTGTATATAATGTAGTGTGTGTGTGTGTATGGTGTATATTATGTAGTGTGTGTATTGTGTAGTGTCTGGTGTATTGTGAGTGTGTATTATGTAGTGTGTGTGTGCATGGTGTTGTGTGTATTATTACTCGCACGCGCATTTATTGCACCATCCTTTCGTCGCATACCGAGGGTGTCTGTGTGTTTGCGAGTCGAGCCTGTCTGCCAATCCACTGCTGGATGAGGTCCTAGCGGCACCACGCAGTGCGGATAGTGTCGGCGGACTTGACTATACTTCCGCACGTGGGTTCAGTGGCGTTTGGCGCAGGACGAAATGACAATCACCCATTGCTGCCCGCTGATGGGTTGTGTACACGGAATGTGTAAATTTGTGTTATGTTGATGCTGTATATGCGACATTAATAGGTGTTCGCTAACAGGTAGTTTGCCTTAAAACACCCGTGCTGATATGAGAAGTGTTTGGCGTTTCGTGTGTTTTTGTGTATGTGTGTGCGTGCATGTTGTTAAATAGACAGTATACACACATACTGTGTGTGTATATAATTATGTTTGCGTATATATGTGTGTGTGTGTGTTGTAAATTCCGTAGGTGCTCGCATTTAGCATTTGCCCAAACATTCGATTAATCTAATACGTGGGCATTTATTCGTCTTAGTATCTTTGTGTGTACGGCATATAAAGTGTGTGTGTGTATATATACACACTGCATTTAGTATGTATACATTATATTTGTCTAGGGTACATGTGTGAATATATGCGTGCATACTCAATGTACAGGATGTATTCCTATATGGTTTACGTGATTATGTGTGTATATTAACATACACGCGTGCGCATATCTGTGTATTTATTTATGTGTACGTGACGTGTGTACATTGTATGTGTACGTGACGTGTGTACATGGTATATGTGTGAGTGTGTGTATATATGCATGTACGATTTGTGTAGTGGTTAATGCGCGACGCTACAATCCCGACGGACCGAGTTCGATTCTCGCTCACGGCCAACACCAGCGACTGCTATCTAAATACAAGTCTCCGGGTCTCCCCTAGGTCAACTCGGCCTCAAATTTAACACCTGGTGCGGTGTGTATCTTGGGGATACAAAGGCGGTCGGGAGTGGTGTTGGACAACCCCCCACCACGGGGGATGGGGGGGGGGGTCTTTGTCTTGTGCGTTCTTGTGTGGGCAGCGTTGGTGCGATGCTTAGCGCTGAATGCCGGCAACCTCTGGTTCAATTTGACGTCCGCATTTGTTGCGCATCGAAAATCGAACTTGAATGATCATTGGGGGCCTTGATTTGGACATCGACTCTGCACTAAGCGAGTAGATTTCCCGATGCGGTGGTTTCGGAACTGGGGGATACAAAAGCGGGCCGGGTATAGTTGTTGGCCACACCACCGATTTAATAGGTGCTCGCTAACATCACCGGTTTGTACGGCTAAACGGGGAACGGAAGGGGGGAGTCTTTGTCCTTTCTGTGTCTGCATATACGCGCGTGATTGTTCTAAACGAACATCGGATTCTTGTGTTGGTGATCGTGTCTAAAGCGGCCTGTCCGTCTCGAGCACTCCGCTCCAAGCGCTTCTACAGTTTTCGTGGACCTGGGTTCAACTCCTGGCCACGACGATGGAGATCGGCACACGCGGTCAGGGTTTTGCACGATGTTTACGCGCGCATAGACTAGCTACCGTCGCGGCTATCCACGAATATTATCCAGGAATTTAAAACAATTCCGCACAACACCAGCCGAGCAATCGCGGCCAGCGGCGAGAATTTCTTTAAAAAAATTTCCCCGAATGAATCCAAAACGCTTCGAGGCATTGGCGCCGATCCGTAAACGTTTTGCGGAATAAACATTGGGGGGCGGTGAGCGAGTAGCAGCATCATTATTATTGCAGCAGCAGCAGCAACAACAACAACGGTGGACACGGAAGCACTACACACAACCTGTTGGTGTATCGTCAAGTGCATTCGTAGTAATAGCCATGCCACCCTCGCACAACAAAGACAAAGAACCCCCGTATAGCCTGAACAGACTGTTGGGGAAAGTGCCGTTAGCGAGCGCCGAATGAAGGTCAGCACGGCACACGAGGGGGGGGGGGGGTGGCCAACACAACGCCCGGCCGCCTTTGTCTCCCCAGTGGCGATTGTTTTACACACCGCAACCAATTACTCATTTGAGGCCGAGTCGACCTAGGGGGGAAGCCCATGACCGGTTCGGATAATCGTCATTGCTGTTGGAATCGAACTCTGGTTCGCCGGGTTCGTAGCGCAGCGCGCTAACCGCAAAGACACAGCTCCCCACGCAGACACACACACACAGACGCGCACACACACGTGTGCATTCACTTCCTAATTTGCTTAATTGAGCCCCTCCCCCAGACGTCAGTCAGCCGATCGTGAAACTCTCACGTGTGAACCCCTCTGTGGCTGCGCTGATAAACGCGACCTTTGCATCGCGGGCGTTTTGAGCGCGATTACCCACAAGTGGCGCGGCCGCGGGTCTTAGCCCTGTCGTCTTCCCCCCCCACCCCACCCCCGCTCTTCCTCCTGGCTGATGTTGATGTAAAGCGACAAGAAGTCTCGTTTCACGTCGAGGCGGCTTGATGAGCCAGATGATTGCGTCGGGAGTAAACGGACTGGTGATGATGACAGTGCCTCCTCCTTCGTATTCGTAACTCGGCCATTGAGTCTGGTTTTTTTCCATGTCTCCCCATGGTTGTCCGTTCTGGGTGGGTGACCACAGTCTCCGGGCACCGTTGGAGAGTTTATTTTTAATATCCCCCATCTGTGCATCATCGTCAACGTTGAAGTGCATCTGCTGATGCTGCTGCCAATAGCAATGCAGTGGCGATGTGGGTTTAGGGGTTGCCGACCCAGAAGCTTCGTCGCAGTAGAAGATTGAAGCCGAGGGGATGTTCTGCATCGGGGAATGGTCCCGTAACCACGTGGGGTGGTGAGTTCTTCTCGTCCACCATGGGGCAGCAGTGTTTGTGTGCACGCCGTCCGGATTGAGATATTTTACGTTCGTATTTTGTCGACGCTTCGTACCCCACCCCCAGCCTCCTCCCATAAACGACATTCTCTATCAAACAAAGATACTACGTAGCTACCCCATTGGAACCTTTATTTGCCAGTAGAAAAACATGATAATTGGTTTTTTACCCTTTTATCTGGCAACAAAACTGACACCTTTTTTTTACAAGGAGTCATGTTTGCATAGACCACAATACCTGCAGTCGGAATGCAAACAACAAAATACAACTCTGATAATGTATGCACTGTCCTTGTAGTTGATTGGTTCACACCCGAGACAGCTTTCCTTAGAGCCTAGTCTCACATGGTGTTGGACCAGATGACGTCAAGGACAGTGCATACATTATCAAAGTTACGTTTTTTTTGTTTGCATTCCGACTGCAGGTATTGTGGTCTATGCAAACATGACTCCTTGTAAAAAAAAGGTGTCAGTTTTGTTGCCAGATAAAAGGGTAAAAAAACAATTATCATACGTAGCTACCCTTTTTAAAAATACATATATGTATTATAAAAAGCTCTAACCATGGCCGGGTGTGTGTATATATATATTCGTGATCCTAAAGATAACGTGCTCTCGTTGGTGGTAGTGGCGGTGATGTTTGCCGACATCCTGGGGAGTGCCGACGAGACGGTTCTGCGCCGGGTTTTCTTGATGTTCGTAGACGATCGTTGGGCCTCGTGGGGGGTCACGGCGCGACACGGGTGGGGGGTCACGGCGCGACACGGGTGGGGGGTCACGGCGCGACACGGGTGGGGGTCACGGCGCGACACGGGTGGGGGGTCACGGCGCGACACGGGTGGGGGGTCACGGCGCCTGTGGTGTCGCTTTATTACTCTGAGGCTTAGGGGTTTCATGAGCGACTGGTGTTGTGGTTCCAAATGTTGGTTTCGGGGAATCCGACTCTAATCCAAGTGTGACTTTTGGTTACCCCTAATTCAAGTTTTTTCAACCTGCCAAGATCGATTTTTTTTCGTGACCTCTTCCCCCCACCCCCCAAAATAGTTGGGATGTTATAACACCCCCCCTCCCCCCCCCCCCAATTACGAGTTTTTGTGAGCTGACGTGTGAGTGTTTGACTCCAAGTTCGAGTTAGTTTGACCCCAACGGTTGGGTTTTTGTGACCCCCCCCCCCCCACCTCCCCACCGAGTCCGAGCTGTAACCACTGCAGGCGCGAGTGAATGAGAGGTGAATGCCCTACTGTGGCTAGTCCCAAGCTGCGAGCATTAGCGGCTACATGAGCTGATTTGCTGTCCCACGAGCCTCTTAATGAGCTGCTAATGAAATCAATATTTACAACGGGTGTTTATAAAGTATGCAGTTATGGCAGGTTACGTTCCAATAGTCGGCACTCCGCGCCAAAACACTTTTTTTACGCGTGTATATCGTGCACGCAAGAGTGTCGTAGCAGTCAAATTGCCGGAGCATATTCCGTGATGTGTATTTGGCACGTGCAACGTCAACATTACACAAGTCCACAGGTCTTTTCTGAAAATGTCCATCGCGAATCACCTGGTTTAAATTAAGGACACAAACGTTCCGATCGTTGGGTACACGCAGTCTTAGTCTGACTTTGCTAAACAAGTTCCTATGTGACCAACACACAGGTCCGATCTCAATTTGAGCTGGAGGTCACGTGTTTTTTCAGTTGTGTACCCTCCCCTAGGTCGACTCGGCCTCAAATGGCGAGGTATGTTAAAAAACACCGCCACCATGGAGACAAAGGCGGTCGGGCGTGGTGTTGGCCACCCACCTCCTCATGCGCCATTCAGGCCTTCATAGGTGCTCGCTAACAGCACTTGCCCCAACATTCTGTCTTTGTGTACACGTGCGCAATCATTCTAGTGTCTGGGGTGGGGGGAGAGGAGTCTTTTTCTTTCGTGTGCCATTGTGAAAATCAAGTTTATTTTTTCTTAACGATCGTCTTAAATGGATGCGATAGTTTCTCATCCAGTCCACCGATGTGGTTGACGCAGTGCAGATTTCGCCGATACCGCCAGGATGTGCATGGATGGAGCATTTTATGGGCGACGTGCTTGATGGTTAGGTCTTCTCCACAGTCGCAGTTGGGCGATTCTTTGATCTTCCATTTATGAAACGTGCACGCGCATCTGCCGTGTCGTGTTCGAGCGCGGTTCAGCGTGGTCCATAGTCGTCGTGGAAGAGAGAATCTCGGTACTTCCACCGTCGGATCGTGAAGTGCACGCACCACGTGAAATCGCCCACCTGAGTTACATTCCCGGCCACGGCTACTATGGGTGGCGCCTGATTTCTAAATATGTCCCGCCATCACCCTCCCCCCTCTCGCCACCCACACTTTTACCAAACGGCGCTGGGCACGGCAGGGCGTTGGTGGTGGGGTAGGGCTTCATCCAGCAGTGGATTGACAACGGCGCTGTAAACGAGACGACGGTAATTCGCGTTGTCGCGAGTGACTGCTGCAATTTCTCTCCAACCCACCTCCACCCCACCCACCTCCATCTAAATCCGAACGTAGCCACCGCAGAGTCATTATCGCCAGCATGGTAATCATAGTCTCATCCCCGTGTAACGCGACCAGACGTGCGGCCTGTGACCATTGGCCACAACAAACGGACTTGGCTGCCCCCCCCCCTTCCCACCCGCTCGTATTCCCAGCCTCGCGAGCCAAGTGGTTGTTATTCCCCCCCCCCCCCCCCATTGTTCACTCGCATCGTCGTCATCCTCGTCATCGTCGTCGTCTCGTTTTTTGGGTGTTTAGCACTCATGTGAAGTCGTTGACACGCCAATGCGTTGTGTATGCTATGTATGACCCATAATATGTTTTTTTTGGGTTAGATCGCTTAAATTTTAATGTGTCGTTAAACCCGCCGCCACCACCAGAACGTGCCAATTCGTTACTAGTACAGCACTAGTGTGTAGTGTATTGTGTAGTGTATAGTGTAGTGTACTAGTACAGCACACCGGTGTGTTGGAGAGCAAATCCACTACATTTACAATCGGAGTACGTTTCGCCAGTAATTACAACTAGCATCACCAGGCGACAGCCAGATTTGTGAAAACCTCCTCCCGTCCTCCTATGTATGACCCATTGTGTATACTATGTACTGCTTGTATCGAAATCGGCTCGAGCCTCCCCGTAAATCACGTGACTCCCATGTGGCCACACCCACTCAAGAATTTCTCCTCTCTGGGTGCCGCCCACTGTGAAAACAGACTCTGCTCCGTGCAGCTGCGCCGAGGCGAAGTTTATCTTTGTTCATTTCCCTCCAACTTTCCATTATTTCTCTTCTCTATTCCCATCCGCGTTCCTTCTTCTCTTCCCATATGTGTTTGTATTATGTTTTGTTGTAACGTCGTGACCCGCCCCTGACTGACTGGACATCCGTAAATAAGAGCTTTACAGCTCGTCGGATTCCTCCCCAGTATAAATACATATTCTGATTCTGTTGCCCTTTCCGTGGTGTGGCCACGGCTACGGAGTTGCAGGCGTATTCGTTGAGATTGTTGTATTGTATATGAACATGCACACTACATTTCGATTTAAAGCTTTCGTGACTGCAGGGATTCATCTTCTTGGTTCTTTCGGTAAAGTCACGTAGAAAAAAAAATAAAGCATAATAAAATAATTCTAGTAGGGTGGGTAGAATAATACATAGTGTAATATTACATAAATATGCTAAAATCCCTCTTGAAATGCAAATTATTTTGTCAAGGCACTCTTCCTCCTCCCTCCCAGCTTAAATAGACGCTCCAAGCCCAGGACGTGTCATTCAGACTCTGTCTTGTCGACAGACCTGTTCTTCACCTGAGGACGGCTGCTTGCGTTGTGGCCGAAACGTCGTGAGAATTATTTTATTATGTTTTAATTGTATTATTTTATTATTTCCATTCTACGTGACTTACCGAAAGAACCAAGAAGATGCACACTACATGTGTACACAAGGCCGTCCATGGGGGGGGGGGGTGCGGAGCCAGGGGTAACCCCCCCCTGCGTGCCCCCCGCCCCCCCGTCCCGACACCTTCAAACTAAACCGGAGAAGTATTACTTCTGACGTCGAAACGCTCCTGGAACCTGCCCACCTAGGTTCACTCGGCCTGAAATAATTAGCGGGTGGGGTGGTGTGTAACCGATACGACTGCGTAGACCAGGGCGGCCGGGTGTGTCTATAAAGGTGCTCTCTTTGACAGCACTTGGCCCCGGGCTGCTCTAAGCACCGGAGTTAAATCCCCCCCCCCCCTAACGCTGACAACACCAGGGTGACGATTCTCTGAACCGGTCCCTGGGACTCTCCTAGTTCCGTTCGCCCTCGAACGATTCCTGTATCCGGTGCGATGTGTAAGCATCATCACGCGGTGCGATGTGTAGGCATCACCACGTGGTGCGATGTGTAGGCATCCCTCCCCCCCCTCGTATGCCGTGCCGGTCTTCATAGGTGCTCGCTAACAGCACTTGCCCCGACCGTCTGTTAGGGCTGTATGGGGGATCTTTGTCTGTGTAATCAATCTTAGCATTATGTTCTAATTGTATAAGTGCTGGAAAATGACCCAAAGCTAAAAAAATAACGAAAGTTTACACACACACACTAATAATAACAGCAAATTGTTTATCCTGTAGGGCTCAGGATAAACATGCGGAACTGTACAAGCTATTTCCTATTTTTGCATTTTGCAAAAAATAATAAGTCGAAAATGTATTTGCTTTTGTTAGTTTAAGGCTAATTAAATCTATAAACACCAGGGTCTTGGGCTCTGCTGGCAGATGCGACACGCTGAGGTCCATTTGGAATACATTGTTGGAGGCCTTCATCCAGCAGCGGATTGAGCACGTGCTGCAAAGGGTATTATCCATAATTAGCATTTTACAAATGTCTAATTATCACGAAACTATATTCGTAAAACGTACCATTGATAGAAATTCGAGTCATCCATTCTCTATCCGCTGCTGAATGGAGGCCTCGCCGCACGAGAGCCAACAGGCGATGGACACGGACACTTATCAACGATCCATTCTCTATCCGCCGCTGGATGGTCATCCTGATCACGTTGGAACCGATTCTTGATGAGACATGCATGCGTGGCTATATCGTCGTCGTCATCACGACTAGTCTCCTGCCGCTTGTTTTACCGAGGGAAGCTTCGCGGGCTCTCAGAACTTTTCCGCGATGGGGTGTTTAGTTTGTTGTCCTTCCCCCCGCACCTCCGATTAGCTACGTACGGTGTGAAAGAAGTTTGACATACACACGTGTATAAGCTGTATACCGACTGGGTAATGTAGTATCGTGGTCCTTTGGCACCGTGGTTTGAATACAAAGACAAAGATCCCCCGTATGGCCTTTAACAGACTGTTGGGGCAAGTGCTGTTAGGGTGCTCCTAATGAAGGTCGGCACGGGGGGAGTGGGTGGCCAGCACCACGCTCGGTCACTTTCATCTCCTCGGTGTCCACAGTGTTTGCACACCGCACCAGGTACTCGTCTGAGGCCGAGGTCGACATAGGGCATGCCCAGTACCGGTTCAGATATTTGCCACTCTAATTGGTCGCGAGTGGGGAATCTAACTCGGTTCGACGGGTTTTCTGTAGCTCGGCACGCAAACCGTTGCACTACCGCTCCCCCCACGCAGACACACGCTCTGTAATATTCCACCACCGTCTAATATCCCCTGCCTCTCTCGCACGTCGTCGTCAGCAGCTGTGGACCAAATGATCGGCCGCTGTGCACCGTCGCTATCCCTCGCAACAGCACGCTCCGTCTCGCTCGCGATCTCGCAACTCCATCTCCGCACCGGTGCTCCCGGATGTTGCTCCCTCCCCCCCCCCCCCCCCCCCCCCCCCCCCTCCCCCCCCCGGGGCTCGTGCCATCGGGGCGATTTACCGTGGTGGCGCGCCGCTCCGCGTCATCACTCGGTGTCGCCGCTCAGACTTTAGCGCTGTCTGCATCGTGGTGTCTCGTATTGGTCATGAGTGCTGTGTCATGTCATTATTTTTCAAAAGTTTACTGCATCATGAATTTTCCTATTTTAACTTGACCTTTTTGACCTCCCCTCCCTCTAACCCCTTCCACCCCTCTCTCTCTCTCCCCCTCCATCTCACCGTCTCTCCCCCTACGCCGCTCCGTGGCGGTTTCCAGCTGGGCGACTTTCGCGATCTCGCTCGCTTTCGCAATAACCGGCGGCCACCTCCCTCTCCACTCCCGTAATGTTCCGCGTGATCCTGTACCTCTCAACATTTCAACGTTGCCCTCTTCCCCCCCCTCCCCGTGCCAACCACCCCAGGGCGATATCACGGGTGCCCGTGGAGCAGGTGTGGAACCACACGGGGCTGTGCCGGGGGCTGGGCGGCTTCGTGGGCGAGCAGACGCAGCTGTGCCGGCGCCAGCTGGACGTGGCGCCCGTGCTGGCGCAGGCGGCACGCGACACGCTGCGCGCCTGCACCAAGGCCTTCGCCGACATGCGCTGGAACTGCTCCACCGCCGAGCGGGCACCCAATTTCTCTCCCGACCTCGAGAGGGGTGAGTGTGTGGGCACGCGGGCGGACAGGCAGGCCTGTGAGCAGCTGGGTGGGTGAGCGTGTGAATGGGCGGGGCTGGGTGGGTGAGCGTGTGAACGGGCGGGGCTGGGTGGGTGAGCGTGTGAACGGGCGGGGCTGGGTGGGTTGGGTGGGTGACCGTGTGAACAGGCGGGGCTGGGTGGCTGGGTGGGTGTGCATGTGAACGAGCGGATGGGTGGGTGGGTGGGTGGGTTGGTGAGCGTGTGAACGAGCGGTTGGGTGAGTGGGTGGGTGGGTGAGCGTGTGAACGAGCGGGTGTAACAATGATTGAGGTTTGTAACGCGTCGCGCTAACCGCACTACGCTACCGCCCCTCCCCCCCCCTACCACAGGCACGCGTGAGTCGGCCTTCGTGTACGCGCTGTCCGCGGCGGCCGCGAGCCACGGGGTGGCGCGGGCCTGCGCCGCCGGCGACCTCGCCTCGTGCTCCTGCGCCCCCACGCCGGCCGAGGCCCCATCGGCCGACTTCCGCTGGGGAGGCTGTGGCGACAACCTGCGGCATGGCCTGGCGGTGGGAGGTCGCTTTGCCGACGCGCCCATGCGCGCCAAGAAGTCTGCGCGTGGCCAGGTGTCGCGGCTCATGAACCTGCACAACAACGAGGTCGGCCGGCAGGTAACCACGCGGCGGGGGCGGTGGGGGAGGGGGGGCGGGTAGGTTGGTGGTGACGACGCCGGAGGTGCGGCGTGGGCGCCGCGCTGGCGAAGATGTTGACTACCTCGCCGGGTACGCAGGAGGTCGTGGGTTCGATCCCGACCCGGACGCCTGCTGCTGTATATTTGGAGTTTGTGTGTCGCTCTCTCCCAGTGTTCACGTCGATTTTTCTCCAGGTCCTCTGGTGTTTTTTTCCCCCCCGGCCATATTTAGAATCGGCGTGCGTTTCAGAGTATTTGGCTACTGATATAAATGTCCACGTGATAAGCCACTTGGTGGAGTTGTCATTTGTGGCCAGATCGCTTCTGAAAAAAAAGAGCCGTTCAGCTCTTTGGGCTTTACCTGGTAAAATAAAAAAAAATAGTTTTAGTTTAGAAACGTGGAGGTAGCTCGGGTGTAACATGGAGATCCCGTGTCACCTGCCGATTCGACCAACGGGCGGTACATTTCTCGGCGAGAAATCAAAGCTGGGGGGGGGGGGGGGGGGGCTTTGATTTGGTCGTGGCGCCGCCACGGAAGCGCGCGTGTGTGTGCGTGCCGAACCTTCAAGCATCGACGTGAGCGACACCCAAACAAAACCGAGCAAAGCCTCGTCTCCCCTCTGGGGTCAGCCCTAGCTGGCGAGAATCCTGAATCGCTCCTTCGCCCCCCGCCCCCCCCATCCGTCTCCTCAAGGCCCTCCTCAGCTCGGTGGAAACCAAGTGCAAGTGCCACGGCATCTCGGGCTCGTGCTCGGTGAAGACCTGCTGGAAGGGCACGCGCGACCTCGCCGCCATCGCCGCCGAGCTGAAGTCGCGCTACCTCTCGGCGAGCAAGGTGACCCACCGGCACGTGGGCACGCGCCACCAGCTGGTGCCGCGCGACATGGACATCCGGCCGGTGCGCGACGACGAGCTGGTGTACACCGTGGGCTCGCCCGACTACTGCGCCGTCAACGAGCGGCTCGGGTCGCCCGGCACGCAGGACAGGTGCGTGTGTGTGTGTGTACGCTGTGTGTGTACGCTGTGTGTGTACGCTGTGTGTGTACGTTGTGTGTGTACGCTGTGTGTGTACGCTGTGTGTGTGTGCGTACGTGTAGCGGTTAGCGCGCTGCGCTATGAACCCGGCGACATGAGTTCGATTCCCGCTCACGGCCAACACCAGTGACGATTATCTGAACCAGTCCTGGGCCTCCCCTAGGTCGACTCGGCCTCAAATGAGTACCTGGTGCAGTGTGTAAACATTGCCACTAGGGAGACAAAGGCGGTCGGGCGTGGTGCTGGCCACACACCCCCTCGTGTACCGTTCCGGCCTTCATAGGTGCTTGCAGTCTGTTAAGGCTATATGGGGGATCTTTGATCTTTGTTGTGTGTGTGTGTGTGCACGCTGTGTGTGTGTGTGCACGCGTGCGGTAGTGTGGTGGGTTAGCGCGCTGCGCCACGAACCCGGCGACGTGGGTTCGATTCTCGCTCGCGGCCAGCACTGGTGACGATTATCTGAACTGGTCCTGGGCCTCCCCTAGGTCGACTCAGCCTTAAATTACTGCCTGGTGCGATGTGTAAACATCGCCAGTGGGGAGACTAAGGTGGCCGGGCGTGGTGTTGGCCACCCACCCCCTCGTGTGCCGTGCCGGCCATCATAGGTGCTCGCTAACAGCACTTTCCCCAACAGTCTGTTAAGGCTACACGGGGGATCTTTTTCTTTTTTTGTGTGTTCTTGTGCGTGGCCTTAGTGGCGAATGGCGGGGTCTTGTTGTTGTTGTACTGTGTGTGTGTGTACGTGTGCATGCACGCATTGTGTGTGTGTGTACGTGTACGTGTGCATGCACGCATTGTCTGTGTGTGTGTGTACGTGTACGTGTGCATGCACGCATTGTGTGCGTGTGTACGTGTGCATGCACGCATTGTGTGCGTGTGTACGTGTGCATGCACGCATTGTGTGCGTGTGTACGTGTGCATGCACGCATTGTGTGCGTGTGTACGTGTGCATGCACGCATTGTGTGCGTGTGTACGTGTGCATGCACGCATTGTGTGTGTGTGTGCGTACGGTAGGAGAGAAGTTCAACGTACGTACAGCGCCTTCGGCCTCGTCTCTGGTGGCTTTCCTCATTTGTCTCTGCCTGCCCCCCCCCGCCCCCCTCAGGCAGTGCAATAAGACATCATCCGGGAGCGACAGCTGCGACCTCATGTGCTGCGGCCGCGGGTACAACCCGTACTCGGAGACGCTGGTGGAGCGCTGCCACTGCAAGTACCACTGGTGCTGCTACGTCACCTGCAAGAAGTGCGAGCGCACCGTGGAGCGATACGTGTGCAAGTAGTTCCGGCTCGCGTCAAAGGCGACGGTGGCGTAATCACGCCGCGCGTCACAACGTCGCGTTCTCGTGAACTCTTTGCCGACCCGTGGGCAACACAAAAACGGTATCGCTGCGCCGGTGAGGAGGCCGGGCGGGGGTGGAACTTTGCGGAAGGAACTACTTTAACAATGAAATGTTTTGAGGTACGGGAGAGGAGAAAAGCAAAAAAAAAACGGGACTTATGTTGTAAGTTTGTTCCGGCTGAATAATACAAGAAGATGCAAGACAATAATCGGGCGAAAGAAAATTCTTAAACGAATCGCACCGCCCCCCAACGGAAAAATGGCACTCGCGACAAAAAACTAAATTCGAAAAGTTACGCGTCTGTGTTTGAGATTTATAAAATGTACACTTCACCAACATCGAGGCCCTAAGCAGAAAGCACGGATTAGTAGCGGTCAACAGAAACAAATCCAGACGTGGCTTTACTCACGCGTGCACATCGCGGACAAACAGCCGTTACTACTCTGGAGATTTTGCCCTCTCTAAGTTTCATTTATTTCGAGGCGCGCATCTATCGCAAGCTCTACGACGCCGGAACGTACGTGTGCCTTTTCGTTAAGAACAAAACGAAACTAAATCCGCTTTTGAGATTTCCATCGGAAGCCTTGCCGATGTAAAAACAACAGCAAATGAAAAACCTCCCGAGAGAGAGAGAGAGGAAAAAAAAGCGGTGCCCTTCTCGCACACCTGCCTCCTGGTGCAAGAAGCTTACAGAAGAAATTCAGCCAGAGAGAGAGTAGGAGGGGAAGAAAAACAAAGAGAGAGAATCATCCGGAAGTTTTGGCGAAAAACAAGGTTTTTTTGCCGTCTGAATCTCGAAGAAAAACGGAGCGGCTGGGAAGACCTCGGTGATACCACGCGGCAAAGATCTTAGCCGGGGGAGGTGGGTGGGGGGGTTGGAACTCGAGGAAGAGGCTGCCGGCAAGATTTGGCAGCCCCAAAATCGGTGTCTGTCTTTCCGGGAAGTTATCCGCCAGAAATCTTCCCACCAAGACCGTTCTTCGTGCCTCCCAACTCGGTCTCTTGGAGAGGATAAAATGTTCTTGTTGTTTTTTTTCCCTCCTCCTCCAAGTAAATTTGTTTATATATACATGTAAAGTCCACGAAATCCAGAAAACACTCCTTTTAAGATGAATGTCGTCCGTTTAAAAGTCCAAGTTGCGTGTCCGCAAGGCAAGGGCACTTCCCTGTCCGTTGCCATGGCCCCTGCCGCCCCACAGTACAGTTTAACAATTATTGATTATAATTAATAGCACGGTAATTATGTTTTATAATATTCGTAATAATGCAAGGAACAAACGTACGAGGCCGACTCCTCTCGTCCTGCCAGTATTGCATTTGAACTTAGCCTGGTTTGTTCCTGGGCAGGATTAACGGAACTTAATACCACATTTTATATATATAAGTGTATGTATACACGTACCATTTATGTATATGTGTATGTATGTGCGCAACGGTGCGGATGCCCCATATGTATTGCCACACAGTGTGTGTGTAAATATATGCGGAAATTAATGGTAAATATATTTGTGTTTTGTATGGATGTAAACATACGAATTGGTGTGTGCGTGCGCGTGTGTGCAAAAAAATCCACCCTTTAGCAAACAGACTGTTGAAATTATTACTGTTAGCGAGCATCTATTAAGGTGGTGGGGGGGTGGGGAGCCGTTGTGGCAAGCACCACTTTTGGCCTCCCCTACGTTCAATGCCGCTCTGTGACCCAGTCACTGATTTTTTTTAGGCCCCAGTTGACCTAAGGGTAATCCCAAACAAAGTTGAGCTTCAGGAAGTACTATTTTTGGTTACGTGACGAACAACGGATTGTGGTGGTTTGACGGCCCCGTGGTGTCCAATCGGTGCAACCCATTCTGGATTTCGGGAATCTTTGTGAGATACGACCACATCTCACGGGGGCCGGTGCTCAACAGCCGTGCACGCAGTGCGCTTCAAAAGCAGAACGGCGATCGTCATCCAATGCCGCAGCGTATCGGCGACAAAAGGCTCCAAATGATAAAATGTTGATATTTGATCTTTTTCAATGCTTGAAATGAGCACAAAAAACAATTGGGAGGTGGACTTAAATTGATTACCATCATAAGTCCCAGAGTAACGAACGGAATTAATTGACGCGAGCGAGCGATTAGTGAATCCGTTATTAACGAGCCGTGACGTTTGTTTTGAACCTGCGAAAAGTGTGGTCATTGACAATAAACTGAATGCAATTAGATATATCTATAAAACAAATATTCTTCTCGTTCTGAGAATTTCTGGCATGAGATGGCCATTATGTGCCTTGGTGTGTTTTACTGGATACCACGGGCGGGCGAGCGCCACATTTCACCGATGGGTTTTGTTTAGAATGAAAGTGCGGTGGTGCTGCTGCACGGCCAAGCGCAATGTACCCGGCCAAACGCAATGCCCTGTGGACGATAACCTCATCGAAAGCGTTGAGACGTCACGTGTCCAGATCAGTTACATTCACGGAGGGCCCAAACCCCACAACGTGGTGAGAATCTAGATGCGATTTCGGCAACATTGGCTCATTTGCTAAAACTTCTCGACACGGCACAGTATCGGCATGGCAGCGCGACTGATGGGCCATGAGCGCCCCAGACTAGATGTATATTTCCACGTCTCACGGTTCAAATGTCTCAACGCGGCCCAACGATACGATTTTTTACTTTTTACCTCGCGGTGAGGTGGGGCTGTCGCGTAACTCGCTCACATTGGCCGCGTAAATCGATCGGCGCTGCGAAACGTTTCGCCCGCTACCTTCTTTTTAGGTGCGGTACCAATTCCCGTCGTGGCCCACGGATTGCTGACTTTGACGACGATTCGCGCACAATTGCTGGCAGTGCGCGGGGGGGGGGGGGCTGTACCCCCCTCTATCCCCCCGTACCCACCCGACTAGTGATCCGACTAAGTTGGTGCGATGGAACGGAATTGAAGACGAAAGCGCTGTGTGTGTGTGTGAGAGAAGGAGTACCGCTGTGCGAGTGTGCAATAACGTTGTACTAACGTGGCAATGACCAACGTTGTTGCGCATTGTTCACGACGTTCAACAGTTGCGTATGATCTGCGGCGGTTGTAATCGCGGCGATGGGTAAAGATTGGCAGGCCTGGAAATGATGACCGTTGGCGGATTATCCACAATCCCCAGGACGAGTGATGAGGACTAAGATTATTTGACAGAAAATCCAGTTTGTAGCGGGCTTTAAAAAAAAAAGATCTTGGATTCTAACTTGTTTATAAATCTTTTCTCTTATCTCTGGCTGTTATTACACATTTTTGCCTCGCGTGTGCATGCGTGCGTGCATGTCGAGAGAGAGAGAGAGCGGGGGTGGGCGGGGGGGGAACGTTCCAAGCCACCCAGTGTGAAATGGTCACGATAAGGTCTGGATTAAAAAATATATATGAAAAAAAATGACTTGCATTGTTTCCTGTTTCGCGTTTCTGGGGCTGGGATTTGAAAGGCCTGCCACTGAACCCCAGGGTGGATGAGTGCCCTTACTTTTTGGAATTCCACCAAAATAATAATTTCAGAATTCTACCCCCAGCCACCCCCCCTCCCACCCCTCCAATGAAACAACGGCGATTGAAATATGGTCGGAATTATTATTATTTTTCGCTTTTGGGCCGTTTTCTCTGTCTATTTAAAAAAAAACGTTAAATAAACCGTACATGTTTTGGCAGAACAGACATCCATTATGCATTTATTAAAAAGTATTCAGTTTCCAGTAGATTTTCTGTACATTATATATATATACGTGTGTGTGTGTGCGCGCGTTGCTACAATCTGGCCGAAAAGCTATTTGAGAAAAAAACGATCAACTCTCAAAACTTGGTGGATCTTAAAACCCATCTGTTGCACGTGCTTAATTATCGAAAACATTTCTCATGCACGGCTCGCCGGTGGTTGCGGTGGTGGCTAGTCGTAGGAAAACAAGCTATTCCAGGAACACAAAAATATCCACAATAGTCCGTGATTGCTGAACACGGGACGGCTTAAGTGCAGCAGCCGAAACTGTGGAAATTTTTTTAAAAAGTAATTTGTGTACCGGTATGTGTAATAGATATGTATACCGGTACGTACATGTGATGTATGGAAGTTTGTATGTATGCCCCTCTCTCCCTCCCTCTCCTAATGTATATATTTTTTAGAACTTTGAAGGAAAACTAATTTACATTCCCCCCCCCCCCCCGCCGCTAATCGTGGCGATGGAATTGCGATCAGAAGTAGTCCTCAAGATGGTCGCGTGTGCTTTTTAAATCCTTTATATTAAGTTCGCTTGCTTGCTTGCGTGCTTGCTTGCTTGCTTACGACCGTGCAAACCTTTCGGTCGTTTTTTAACCCACTTCCCGTGATCCAATCGAGCTGATATTTTGCACACAGACTCGTTGTGCGTGACAATTAATGTTCGTGAAAAAAAAATTCCAAAATTTAACACTATTTAGGGAAAACAAATGAAATATTTAATTACCAATTGCTTAATACTGGCAGACAATCATCTGACCCATAGGTGGCAGCCATCTCAAGCCAGAGGACGAGAGGACTCTAGCCGCCACGCATATAAAGGATTTAGAGTGAAAAACTTTGTTTTTACGGGTTATACTTGTTAAATCCTTTATATTAAGTTCGCTTGCTTGCTTAGGACCGTGCAAATCTTTAGGTCGTTTTTTAACCCACTTCCCGTGATCCAATCGAGCTGACATTTTGCACACAGACTCGTTGTGCGTGACATGCATTTTCGTGAAAAAAAAATTTCAAAATTTTACACTGTTTAGGGAAATTTTTAAAAATATTTAATTACCAATTGTTTAATGCTGCCAGAGGACGAGAGGACTCTAGCCGCCCCGATGCCACGCATATAAAGGATTTATAGTGAAAAACTTTGTTTTTACGGGTTTATTTGTTTATATTTACGCCTTCCCCGTCCCTCCCCCTACCATATTTACGAACAATTCCGGCGCTTTTGCTCTGCGAGTCTCGTTATGGGGAAAGCGGTGGTGGTGGTGGCGGTGGTAGCAGGAGATTTGCGTTGGATCCTCGACACCGTAGTGATCACACGACGGCAAAAAAAAATCATCGCTCGCGCTTTTCGTGCGACTGTAACGCGCTATATTCCCCGGACCGCATTTTTACTCGCACGTATTATTTTGCACATGTTTATTTTTGATAATGGTAAAAAAAGGCATCATACTGTGGATGTGTTACGGTCCCCCTGATGTAAATACAGTTTAACTTAAAAAAAAACAAAAGTCAATGTGCTGCTGGTTTTCTTCTGCTGTCCAGTTTAACTTCATGGATGCGCATGTCAGTTTCTACTTTATTTTGTTACGGAGACTTCCGTGCATAGTTTGTATTCTGAATTTAGTTTGCAGTATGCTTTGTTTTAAAGAGCAAAGTTTTTTTTTAAAGAGCGAATTATAAAAAAAAAGTATCTTCCCCCGAATTCCCTTAATTATAATGCGAAACATAATTTATTCAAAAAAAATATTAATTGCATCAACCAACGATACGATGTATAGTCGTTTAAAAAGTGGGATTCACCATTGGAACCTCCTTTGCCAGTAGCAAAATATGATGATTGTTTTTTTACCCTTTTATCTGGCAACAAAACTGTAACCTTTTTTACAAGGAGTCATGTTTGT